TCTAAATTTGTTTCTCTGAAAGTTTGTAAGATAAGAATAAAAAGTGCTAACCCAACTTCATACAACCAAAATATTTTGTTGGAAAATTTAGCAATTTCAGTAATTCAAGCATTGAGGACCATGAGTTTGTGTGAATCAGATATGATAACGCTCAATCACAGAATCAATTGAATGGAAACTAGATAGATAAAGATTTTGTAGCTTTTGATCCTCTACAGCTAACGTTACTAACGATCATCTAACGTAAACGTTACTAGTGGTATTGATGGATTATCCATGAATTTACAAAGCATTTATTTTTTCGCACACAATCTCTCCCCACTCACTGCTGCAATCTGACCAACAAAATCTAAATGGGTAACGAGCTCACACTTAATTGCCTTCAAGAGGACTACTACTAGCAATTATATGCTGTATTGACTATCCTTGCCTGACTATGGCATTATAGGTGTATGGAAATGTCCCTTTGTAGCTATGGCATTGAAGCTAGCGTTGGATAAAAAGTTGGGCATCTAGGTTGGTGCACGACCTCCTACCAGATGGTACTTTTTTGTGAACAAAATATTAAATTTCTTCGAATGGGCGGACTCAGAAAAGCACAATGTGTTCATTGTGAACATTCACACCAAGCCACCGGCAACATTGGCTGTCAGTTGAATAAACCTCAATGTGAATTTGATGGGAAGTTTCTATTAAGATTTCGTAGGATTGCTCGGAAAAACACTTTAACAAACTCAATAAGAATGACTGGTTATCATATTTATGTGCTCTTGTTTGTGTCCATATCAGCGTGGAGTGCCATTTGCAGAAATACCTTTCGAATGGTTCCGAAATGAAGACGTCATCTTGAATAGCTGGAGGGGTGATTTCAGGTGATAAGCCGCTACTGATACAGCGTTGTTGTATTGATGAGTGCCGACTAGAACATAAAAACTAGGTGTCTCTTCGTTTCCATCTATGCATTGTATCTGTAGATAACCTTATGGCACCCACGAGAATACTCATGTGAAGCTCAGCCTGTGCTAAATATGTTGGGCATTTGAATGGCAGGTTGAGGAAGTAACTTAATCTGATTGTCTGGGAAAGAGCCCCAAGGATAATTCAGATTGCCGTCATAAGTTTTGGCTTTATGTCACCCAATGAGGCGGTCTTGGCGCGGTAGTGGATGTCCAGAACTGCGCTACTCATGTCATTGAGAGTTGCCGTCAATTGTATGAATGCTGCTGGTAGAGCTGAATTTGCAAGTGATACTGGCACTTGGTTTGAAGAACGGTATTGTACATTCGTATTGTGCTAAATGGTACTGTGCTGGTGAGCGAAGAATTAATGGGATGGTCCTCAGGATAATGAGGCTTGGATTCACATGACATAATTTCACAAACCCGTGTTCTAGAATTTTTCTCAATCGCCTTTATGCCACGGATGGAACTGCAGGACACCGATCGTGCCTCCCTGCTAGTGCAGCTACACGGGACTTCTGTCAAGAAATAACTAGCTGAGCGGTCCCGATTCGACTCATGTGAGTTGGTCCTCATCCTGCTGACAATCTCACTTTTATAGTCCATCTTCTGTACATTGCCAGCAGATTCTGGCCATTAACGACAGAACAGATGTCTGATCATACCGTGTATCCATTCCGGTCGCTTTCAATTGTCAGAGCACAAGCTGTGTAAGGAACAACCAAGTCGCGTCTGCGAAAAAAAAAAATAAAACAAAAAAAATAAAACGCCACAGATGAAAACACTGAAATGTAATTATTGATGATGAGCGTGGTGTTGTCTCACGGATGCTCAGATTCTACCATGCATCTCTTCTTTTTCATCTTCTGTTCATCATAGTCTCAATATTGCAGATTAACGGTAATTATGTTTGTAACAGTATATAACAATTTTGGGTTAGAATTTTAGACTCCGAAATGCATTCACAAGGGCTTGTGAAAAGATAAATCCGATATGTTGATAACATTAATGATAACGTCAAATTAATTCATCGTCAACTTTCATGAGCTTTGTCACAATATTGCCAGCGATTTCAATTGCTGTCAGCTTCCACACAACTCTTCACACTATTGTGGTCCATGCAGTAGTCCACAATTGTTAATGATAAAGCAAAAAATGTAGCAATAGAATAGCGCAGGAATGTCATGAACTTTGAATCGGATTTTCAGAGTTTGAGGTGCGGACAATTATGTACACGTCACAGATTGCCAGAGAATGTAACTCATTCAGGAGCCTGCAATGGAACTATGAAAGCTCTCTGTTATCAAATTCGGTGTTCCCTACTTTACGAAATTTACCTTCTAAGGTCGAAAGACAATACCACACGTACCGAATTGTACATACACATTGTCAACCACATAGTATATATTTAAAACCTTACATTCTATGTCCAGGAAACTAGCCACTCTAACTTGTGAACAATAAGAGGACTCCACGTTAATCGTATCTATTAATCTGAAATTTGTTCCAAACAATCAGAGGTGCCTCCTCAGAGGAGATTGTATCCCACCCCGAACCGCGACACTTCATTACAACCAAGAGATTCAAAGTCTGAAGGTGGAAATCTACCAAAAATGTGTTGGCAGAAACCCACGGTGCCTTGAAATCACGCACAGAACCCCTTTTTTTTAAAAAAAATAAAATAAATCAGTACAAGAGCGAAATCAACACTTTTGATACTTACGGTGGAACACTTGGTGACGAAATCTGCTTATAAACCCCTTATAAACCGCAAACGGGCGTCACAGTTGTACATCGTGCTACTCATTCTAATCAAGATTAATTACATCGTGCTACTCATTCTAATCAAGATTAATTATGACTCCCATCCTCCGGCTACTGGCTCACACACACACTAGTACCAATGCTTGACCCTCATTGTGCTGCTCGCGTAACAAATGTTTTCCTGCGAAAAGCTTCGATCACTTCTTGCTTGAATTGTGGTGAAAAATCTGCACTCGCACGCATGTCTTACAGCACATGAAAATATCAGGTTTGAAGTAATACAGCAATCCGAGGATGACCAAAACAATACCAGTCACGCCCACTCCAGCGCTAATCCCAACTTTGCCGGCCATGTTGCTCCCCCCCACCTTACTGAAGCTCGTTCTATCATCAGGAGTACGACTTGAATATGGCGGGGTGAGGAGAGTAGAGGGATCGGTGCGGGCACTTGACGGCGACGAAGAGTTCGTAGTAGAAGCTTCAGGATCCGTAGGCAAAGTCGGCAGCACGATCGGAGTATTCACGATGGGAGGCGGGGTTGGATCTGAAGGAGGAGGAGGAGGATACGGCAAATACGTGACGGAATCAGGAGTTGGTGCAGCTTGAAGCAGAAATCGTCCTAGTGTGTGGCAAAAGAAATTCGAAGCATGACGCCGATGGAGAAAAAATCGACGCCCCTGTAAACTGCCATCGTATTCCCTGATGGCTATTTCTTCACAATGGAGGTGATCAATGTAAGCGGACACACTTGGCCAAGCTGAGAACTGCGCCAAAACTACCAATACAAACCATAGAGCTCGCAACATGATGTTCACAACACAACAGACGCAACAAGTTACGATGAAGAGTGCAGACGTTACAATAGCACAGGAAAGAGAAGGCAAAAAATAAAAAATAAAATAAAAAAATGGGAGGGTGAGGAGGTAAGAGCAAGCGAATAAACCACATGACATACCTGATATTATAGAAGAGTCAGTTGAACCTCAATAACAAGCCCATTTCAACCATGCACATGACAAAAAAACGAAATGAGGGGATTACCTTTCGGGACGGTACATGAGTACATTTGGGAAAGAAGATGCGTCTCACCTGAGTACAAGAATCACGGGAACAGCAGACAAACGTCACCATCTGCAGTCTGGACTCTCTTTAAGTCAAATTCAAGCCTGATGTCTCTCGCGGAGTGAACTGAGGTGGTGAAGTGCCCCACTGGGACTGGAATTAAATTGTTGCAAGGAGGGAGAATTTAAGTTTGCCTATCCTACCCACGTAGGATAATACATAAGACTTGCAAGCAAAAATTTAACGTGGAAGGCGTCTCCAGGCACCAGAGAACATCGATGGTGTGAGACTGGGCCCAAGTCTACTTTATTTTCATGAGCCCAAGTGTGGTTAGTGGACACCTGCAAAAGTCCAAAGCGAGATCATAAAAGATTGTGGACTTAACGAAGTCCCCAATATAAATTGATTATCAATTATGAGTAGAAAAATCCTAGGTAAACAGATTTGCTTGCTTAGGTCAACTTCCAATTCGAGATACCCTTTTCCAGATCACGTAACATTCGAGTTTTCCAGATTTTCGCTCTTACGAATTTCAACTAAATACGAACAATCACGAATTTAAAAAATTAAGCGCATTGCATACTGGAATAGCACAATAATGCTAGCATAAGCAGCGGATCTGGATGTCCTGTCTTGTTTAATAAAATCACAAACGAAAATACAAAAATTCTTCGAGAGAAGAGGTTTAGGAGGTCAGACCTGCAGAATATAACAGCTTCACGCTTCGCAGCCTGATGATTGACGTAGATAGCAATAGAGTTATTTGAATCAGCAATGCCTATCACATGAGATTTAAGTGTCATAGTGAAGGCATGAAAAAAGCGGCAGATAAGATCTAGTGAGTTTCGTCAATGTTCATTAACTTTTAGTGGACTACAGCACTGGACAATAGAAACTGTTTATTTGCAAGCTAGACATGCATCATATGTATATATATGTGTATATACACTTCATCATAATAAATGAAAAGAAATAACTCATCAAGAGGGGTATATTCAACGTGGACTGAGCGTGTATGCTAGGTAAAGACTAGATTGCCAGCATTTGCCTGACGATTGCCAATGACATAATTGACATTATGAAGTTTTGCCAATAATAGTCGCTATGAATGAGAGGCAACTAAAAGCAAAAGTGTGTTTTCAAACAATAAAGTGAAATTTCATAACGTGCCTACTTCAAAAAATCCTACTTTCGCAGACATCATGAGCCGGGAGATTGAAGTATAAGTTACAACATAATCGATTGATTTATTTCACTACCTAAAGTAGGACAATTATTTGTTGTAAAGAGGGCGCTCACATACTGCGGATTAGATGTCCAGTAATTTCCAAATAGATATAAAGGCTGTTGTTCAGATTAGATATTGACTAATTACTTGAACGAGCATTACACTCCATAAAAATCTCCATGGACGAGCGTGAGCAATATCACCCGTGCGGCCCATCAACCTGCATCCTGGTGAAATCCAGAACTCGTCCAATCGGACGAAGGTACCTTTCACTGCTACACCATCGTCACTGATAGTACAAAACAAATTCTTATCTAGCTATGGACACGAATGAATTGCTTTTTCTCGTGTATGCTGAACACACTAAGCACACTCATTGGGCCCGTAAGCTTTGTTCTCGTTCTCGAATTTCTGCGCTTGAGCTTTAGATGTGGATTTTCCCGCCAACAAGGCTGCTTTGAACTGCTTGCATACCTCTTCAACGCGAATGGGGAACGCAGGTTTGGTGAGAGAATTCAACACAGCGCCAGCGGTCTGGCGGAGGAGTTGGCTGTATGGCGCAGCTCTTGTATCCAAAAGCGCTTGGTAGAACTTGGTAGTTCCAAAGACTATCTCCACAATCTTCAACTTCGCGTTTTCCCCGTCGCCGCATACATCCTTGAAAAGTGTAGACACAGTGATCTCACGCGGCCATTTTTCGCGATGATCTACCCAGTACCTGAATTCCGAATCAGTTCAACATTGTGAGATACGATGCGGACTTCAGGAGTAGTAACCCTGATGCCAGTCCGATTAAGAAAATCTAGGAGGGACTAAGATAACTTACGAGCTAGGACACCCGTGGGTTCCCTTCGTAGGATTGCTGGTGGCGAACAAAGGAGAGGTTGAAGCCGTGGTCGTGTCGGTGGAGGCCGCAAATGAGGCGGAAGTGTCTGGAGAATTGTCTACAACGGAGCTCACCCTCTGCTCCTCCGGGGTACGGGGGTCGTGGAAGTTAAAAGGCTCGGTATCGCTAGAGGGAGTATACACTGAGGATGGTCCTTCGTGGCCCTTCGCAGATGTCGTGGATTCCGTTGCGTTCGGATCGACACCTACAGTGCTGAAAGATTCAGCTGCCTGATCCCCGTTACCCTGACCTCCGGCGCGGGCATCATACACATACTCGGCATTGCCTCCGGTTGGGGCAGGATTCCTCTCCTCAGAATTACCGAGCGCATATGAAACACCCTCACGGGCTGAGGGATCGTTGACGTTGTCTAGCTTGCTGTAATCGAAGGACGAGCCACTGCCGGTTGGAGGATCCAGGGTGAAGGTTGTCGAGACTAGCTTACCTCCCTCAGAAGACGCTGCGTAAGAGTCTGTGGATGAGTCGAATGTGTCCAGAGGGGAGAAATCGGTGTTAGCGAAGGAGAGGTTATCATCTTCTCCAACAAGTTTGCCTCCCTCATCATTTGGAGAATCCAACAGCTCGTGAGAGGATAGAGAGTCATAGCTCGCTGATGGGTCTCCCTGGGCTCCAATAACTTGATCATCATCGGGGAAAGTGTTAGCTTCAAACTGATGAGAATTATCATGTATTCTTTGGGCGAACGAGTTCTCATTGAACTGCCCGACATTTGACTGATCATCCGGTGTTTCCACCATGTCAAACCCACTCCCCGATGTGGTCACAACACTCCCTTCACTCGAGAGAGCAAAACTATCCCCAGAGTAGCTCCAGTTGTTGGAGTCATCTTGAGAAACACGACTACCGTGGACTGCGCCTACCAACGAGAACACACCGAGCAAGACCAGAAACATCCCCATGCTGGCCATTGGGCTCACTCAGCTACAACTCGAATGGCTCAATGCACAACACTTTCCCACACTTCTGCTCAGCTGCACAACCTTACATCATCCGATGCGATGCTATACCTCTAGCAACGACGAGGACGCTCTTATCAGGAAGAAGGAAAGGTAATTTGGTGGGAGAACGGTGGTTGGATGGCAAGCGCACCGGAAGTAGCGAGATTGACGGCGAAAATTCGTGCATCAAACGGAGGTGCACTTAACGCGGTATATTAAGGCGCCAAAACGACAGAAGTCCCAAGTCTTTCACTTATTGTTGTTCCAATTGGTAGGCCCCGAAGTCTCCTCACCATCCAATTCTCCCGATTTCTCGAAACTGCTTGGTCACTAACTTTGGAGCACCGCTACAAGTCCGGCCAGTGACTGAATTGGGAAGTACACTTCAGTTCACCGCATGCCAGTGTTGTTGCAGTGCTTCACACAAACTGTCAACCTTGCGAAGTGCGCGGCGCTGAAATGGAAACTTAGTCGGGTCAACTGGGTTCAATTACTTCCTATTTGTTACTGGGTATGGAATCGTGCATTTAATTGCTATTTTGTCGTTCTGCATTATTGTTCAATGATATCAAAGAAGTGTTCTGCTGTACCTGGAAAAATAAATAAAAAGTGTCCAGCTCGACGCTCTCCAATAAAACTATGCTGAGCTCTTCAAGGAAGACGAGCGTTTTCTAGCGAAAGTATTCATTCACGTTCTGTTGTTATGTGGCTAAGTGAGCAAAAATTGAATGGATACAAAATAAGTGTTTTCTTATTTTAGATGGAGTCTAGAAGTGGCGAACAAAGGATACATATGTATCGACATCACATCCTCCTGAAATAGAAACAGCCGTTTCTCTTTCTTGCACAGCATGAGGTTTTCAGTTCTCAGCTTTCTCAGTTTTTAGTTTTCAACAATTTTTTTCGTTTTCCAAGAATATTCCCATTCAAAATTTTGATATTGCATAGAACCCATACGATCCACAAGCACAATATTTCTTTAGTAGTTAGTGGCCAAATTAAATAAAATATTCTGAACATGAATGGAAGTCCTTCACAAAGATTGATAGTTTCCTTGTGCATGCTTGTTCCCATTAATATTTTTTGAAAACACAATATTATAGATTTCACAGCTGAAATTTGTACCACGAATTTCTCAAACCAACATGTAAACTTTTGTGACAGCTTAAAGAAATTGCAAACCTCGCTATGATTTTGCTTTGCATTCTTGAGAAGCTATGGGTGTGCCTCGAGGGGGAGGATAGTCAGTGACCACACAGGCCAAATTCAACAAACCATGGCCACATGGTACCACCACACTCAAAAAGAGTCTGCTGTTACTATCTACTAGAATTGTGAGGACATAAACCCGGAGTCTCAGATTCTACGAAACTGCGAACACTTGTCCTCTTTCCAATATATTGGAAGGCAACCACCATCCTCCCCGTTTACCGAACACCAATCTCGGGGCCACTGTTTCCTTTAATTCGAAATAAACTTAAGAATTGATACGGCGGATATGTTCATCGATATGCAGTCAAAACCCGAGTGCACAGAAACTCCTTACTCCTATGTTCTCGAAAGTACAAAGTTCCTAGACACGTCTACTATTGGCTACAGTCCCGGCAGCACGAGAAGGTAAAAAAAATAAAAATAAAAATGGGGGTGATTCAGTAACAAACTGAAACTGAACCCACAAACGCAAATCATGAGATGTGCACCGAACATCGTCCAAATGGAAGTCAACAACTTCGTGAAGGATTCATCTGTACAAGATCGTGTATTATTGTGGAGCGTTTTGACTTGGGCCTGGGGTCAAGTGTACGCAGCACCCATTTCACTTGTTATCGGTCAAATTTAGTCGCAGTTCTCTGTTCTGTTTGGATCTTCGGTGATGACTTTCTCGATCGTCGTAGTTACAAATAAAATCTCTCAGCTCACCTCTCAATGGGTGCAACTCAGGACATATAAGTTACCGGTTGATATCGATCAGTGCAACTCCGGTAGTGCACCGGAACGAATAGAGAATTGTTGTTCCCGAATGGATCTTAGTTTTAGTAGTTTCTTAACATACATGAATTGAGGATCTTACGTTTCACATCTTCCTGAAGTGCCGAGCAATCTTCACCCATTGCAACTACTTCCTTCACCACACTTTGCCTCAACTACTTGGATTGTGTGATACAGTTTCCTTGTTTTTGTTTTTTTTTCTTAATGCTCCTGAAAGTGTTCTGGAGTGTCCTGTATGAATTGTTTATTTCGTTCACACCTTTTTTAACAGCATCTGTTACTTTGAAAACAATATTTCTTTTCATCATATTTAAGTGTCAGGATTATTGTGATCTGGTTTTTAAACTTTTTCTTCTTTTCTATATATATAGGTACTCTGCTTAATTTATGATCTTAATAGATAGAAATGTTATAAATTATAAAAGGTTTTATAATTAATTACTAATTATTTCTAATTATCTTTTTTTACACTTTGAACCAAATATTATAGTTTGGAGCTCTTCAACCCTATATTACATCAAACATCCTTAACTACAAAATTGTGTTTAATATTTACGATCAAAATGTTCTATCTCAATTATTGAATACCTTATCAAAATCAATGTTGCATTCCACTTATACCTCAACTTTACTTTTAACAATATAGGAAAAATAAAATAATATAAAATAAATACAATTCTTATTTGAAATATCTTGAATTAGATAATGTTACATCAAAGCATTGCATACCTACTAAAAAGAAGCCAAATCTCTAAGTACTAAATTATCATATACAATATTTGTACTTTGTTGAATAGAAGATAACATTTGTGTAGAATTATATGCTCTAACCTACTTTTGTTTCTTTTCATTAAGATTTGTTGATGGTATGAAGCATCCATTGATCAATACAAACAATTCTTTAAAAAAAAAAAAAAAAACTTGTAATACTTAATGAAGACATATTTAGTATTAGTTATATCCTAAACAACATTAATTGATGAAATTGAACCAATTTTAAAGACCAGATTGAATCAATGTCAAGCATTTTGCTAAAAATAGGATGTATAGTATTTGTACTTGGTTTCTTGCAATTGGATGGTGCTTGACCAAGTACCTAAAAGCACATCCTTGGATGCCCTTACAAGAAAGAAGCAAGAGGGCCAAAGTGGTTTAATGTGAGAGATCTAGCAACTTCAACGACAACAACAAATTTGAGAGTGTAGAAATGATAAAATGTGAGTCCATCATACATAATAAGGCAATGTCTAGAAGAACATTGAAATAATAAAACTAAACCCTAAATGCACAAATAAATTATCTCTATTCTTATTGGACCAATGTTTATCATTTTGTTCTAGACAAAAACAACACTAATATTTTATTTTATTTTATGTAATCCCTTATTTAAATTATATATATTAATTATACAAAGAAACAAGGTTAGAAGATTAAGAACTAAGAACAATCTTTGTTCCAATAAATGTTATTAAATAAGCAAAAAATACTAATTAAGGGATATAAATTAAGTAGAATTTATATATATATATATATAGCTATATCACTTAAGAAAATAATATTTTTAAGGATTTAATCTAAAATTAAACTTTCAAGGTATTCTTGAAGAAAAAGATACATTTTTGGTTATTTGTATGCTAACAAAAATTCAAATCAAATACATGAATGAAAATAGGCCTCTTTAAATTAAACATATTTATAAGTGTTTAAATTATCAAATACTTGTATAAAAGTAGAGTGATAGAAAGTTTACAAGAATTTGGATTGCTTTCAAATAATCTATATACCTTCCATCATGTCTGCCTATAAATACAATAATTGGCTTATAAAAGTATATTTTCTGATTATTAGGAATTTGGTAACACACATGAAATGTCAAATAGATTTTTTTTTATCAATTCTCTTAACTTAATATGGTCCTAAAAAAACTTGGAGATTAAAAAACGTATCATGATTTACTATAGAGACTGTTGGAACGCTAAGTAAACAAGTAAAAGCTCTGCACTAAAAACAACAAAATGTGTACATGTATAAAATACTTGATGATGAATTTGATTTTAAAAATTCCAAGTAGTATATTATTATTGTATAAAATTTTAGGTTTTTTTTTGCAAATTCAACATGAGTAGAGTTCATAATATAAAACAGAAAAATTATCATGCAACTTTGTTTAACAATTTCACAAAAAGACGGACTTTGTGCAAAGTTACAAATAATTTTATTAACTACTAATTTTATTGTGTTTTTTTTGTTTTTGCATTGTCTACAGTAAGAAAGTTCCAGAAGCTTATCCTGAAACTCCATTATCGAAAATAAAAGAATAATTTGCATGATACTATACTAGGTTGAAATATGTTGGTTATGCAGTTAAAAGTGTTAGAATCAAATGGGTAAACTTGTATGTGATCTATAGTACGTGCCAGACGTTTAAATTTAGTTATGCAGAAAAAAACTGCATCACTCAGAAACCAATATTCATATATCTAATCATGCATATTAATATCAATTAATAAAATTGGTTCATGAAATGTGTTTTGCAATATTTTATTTAAAGGATCATTTTTATTTCACTGTTATTTTAAGAAACCAAAATATTAACATTAATATTTTGAAAGGGTCTCAAACTAATAGTAAAGAAAGTATTATTCCATCAACTCTTCTAATAATCTCAAGCATTTAGTTAAAGAATCATCGCAGTTTAGTGTTTGAGGTAACTGGATATATACATATTCATGTATACATACGTACAATTGAATATTTGTTAAAACCTTCAAGCAGTTCTTATAAAATTCTCAAGAGAAAGCTTGTGAATTTGGGTTTTAATAGATAGAAGATTAATCCAAAACCCATACAACGAAATTCACCAAAAAGTCATCCAAATAAAAAAATAAAAAAATAAAAAACCTAAACTCATCGAAACCAAAGTATGCTCTTAATGACATCAACTTTGGGATAGGGTTTGTTTTTCCGCGATCCGATTTCCCATCGACTTGCGACGCGAGGATCGTCGATCGGCGTGCCAGGAATGAACGTCGCTGAAATCTGGCCGTTGTAAGGCCAAGTCGTAACGACAGAAACGGCGGCGGCTCCCACAAGAGCGCCGAGCT